CCATCTCGTGATCGGGGACTATGCTTCAGAACGTGCGGCGTACGTGGACGGACGTATGGAAGAGCTTCGGCGCTCAGCTGGAGGTCAAAACCATGGGCGGCAGGATATGTCTTGCATACCACAGCCTGTAGGAGTACACTTGGTGTTCTACGAGCGTCTCAGTAAGAGTGATCATACTTTACACTAGCAGATGTTTGTACCCGCTACGACATTCGAGTCGTCATGATTCTAGTCATCGCCCCGCGAATCTATCGGATAATTTGGTATCGCCGACGACCTCTGCATTCCTCCAGTCTCCAGGCGTCCAGACAACAGCATACCCTGATGGGCACGCAAGCAGCGGATCCCAAAGCCGGTCATGCGTAAGCTAGCGCCACAGTACATGGTAAGCGGCTTCTCCCTGTTTCGTGGGCTCGGTGCACATAAAGTGCGTGGTTGCGTAATGTATCGCAGCGCAGCCAGGGGGTAGTATCCATTGAGTCCACTTCTGTCTTGCTCAACATGTACACACAAGCTCTAGCCCTACTTTATTGGACTGCTGGCGTTAGTGGGCATATGTAAGTGACTTCCCACGATGACGTGTGCACGCCGTCTGCAGCAGTCGGACCGCATAATGCGTGATACGGCCAGACCACAGACTAATGACTGGCCAGGTCGCTTTGGTATCCTGGGCCGCTCGGCGGTGCTAGAGAAGCCAACGCGATGTCTACGTATGTAGACCCCGAGCTCAACTTCCCTCTAGGATGTTGTGACGAGGACGGCCAAGCCACTTTGCCGAGCCCGGGTGTGTGTCGAGGCCATGTTGATATGTTCGACGAGCAGGAGGCGCAAGTGGTCTGGCAGGCTGGCCAAGACGCCTACTTCCAGCTTTCCGACCACACTTACACAGCAGGCGTGCCGGGAAGCACACACTACGGAGGCAGCTGCCAGGTAGGCTTCTCTCTGGACCGCGGCCAGACGTGGAGGGTAGCGGCTTCGTTTTCTGGAAACTGCCCACGCCGGGCAGAAGACGGATCGCCCAGTAGCCAAACGTTTGACTTTCAGGTTCCCCGTGGCATGCCGAGCGGCAACGCCCTGTTTGCCTGGGTCTGGCTGAACCGTGAGCACGAGATGTTTGTTAACTGTGCCAAAGTTCAGATTGCAGGCAATGCTTCGCGTGCTCTATCGGCTGGCATGCCTCTTTCTTCTGATGGATTCCGGCAGCGGAAGAGAGTAAGATCTTCCCGCTCCTGTGAGTGGAGTACAGCTCCCCTGATGAAAACGAGCTACTACACCACTGACGCCGAATGCATGCCCGACGCCAAGTTACAGTATACGCAAAGCGACGACTTTGAGCTAGGCTGGGATGTGACCTGCGGCGCCGTAGAGGGTGATGGCGCTTTCCCGATCCAGATGATCGACTGCTGATAAGGTTCACATCATCATCCACTCTCACGTCATCGTCAGTTCGGCGTTGTAGAAGCAGTTGCAGCTAGGGAAGCAGCTGCTCAGGCGTGTTCTTGCATGTGGGGAGCCAGCGCTATTTCATTTTTCCATAACTAGATCGATAGATGTTCCTACAAAAATGAGCAACATGGAGTCTTTCCCATACGCCTACTTCGTTCCATCGAGTCAGGGTGCCGTGCACTGTACCACGTCGCCCCGTGTTTTTGGCACTACAACCGAATCAACGATATTCTTTGTTTTGCAGCTGTATTTCCATGCTGATCATGGGGTGAATACATGTTATCACGCGCCGTCTGGCATATCTGGATGCTCAGGATTCGTGTCGAGGTCACACTTACGTGGCGGGCGATCAGAACACAGTCGAATCACGAGCGTTGGTCCTTACATTCGCGAACTGACATCGGGAAACGCGTAGTCATGAGTGGTGGTTCTCTTGGGATTCTTCTCCTACTACCCAGCGCCAAGGGGATACGTCGCCATCCTATCCCAGAGTTTACAAACAAAACTTAACATGTGCTGGCGCGCCGCCTAAGTGCCTTCGTTTGTGTCAAGCAATATGTACTGGGTTGATAACGGGTGCATGACCATGGCGTAGCCACGAGTACACTGCCGCACATAGACTAGAGATGAATCGCTATCGAGCCACGGCAGCGATAACAAGGCCTGTATACTCTATTCATGACTATACCCAGACGGTCGCGGGCCGCGGACCTGCTACTCGAACGTCTCTTTAATGATCTCATGCATGCCTTCCGTTAGAAAACCTGTGATCGACTGCCAATCGAATGACTCGTGAAACGCTCATTTACAGCGGTGACATGTCTCATCGTCGTATATAGGTAGCACAGGAGGCGTGAGGTCTAGCTTCTCAGTACAAGCAATGTTGAACTTGACTGAACACGACGTAGATCGTTGTCCCATCGGTTTTGTCTCGTTCTTCCACGAAGCCATACCCTTGACACGTACTTTGGCAATGGTATCTCCAGCTTCGATGCAAAAGCCAAAACAGTATGCCTCTCGAAACCAGTTGGGTCAGCGTCATCGAGCTTTCCTTTTTGACGAAATCAAGGTCATGTAACCTGGTATATGGGCTGGCGGTCAGCGCCGACTGTGGCAAAACCTGTCATGGTTGACTTAACATCTGATATATCATTGTGACTCGAGGTTTGCCTTCCATCCAATGACCGAATTGTATTCGCAAGATCAGGCATACTAGGTGTCACATCATTGGCCATGTGGAGAACCTCGATGGACTTCTCCAAGCTCTCGCTGAATGTCTTTGGGGATTCTAGTGTCGTGTAATGGGTGATGACGATAGCGAAGATTGAGAGGATAAAGAAGGAGCTGAATTGTGTGCGAAAGTATAGCATCTTGATGGAACAAGCCGTAACGACACGAGACGAACTTGGAGGACTTGAGACGACTGTGAAGACATATATCCATCTGTGACTTTCCCTTAACAGCAGCTTCGTTGACTGTGCGGCCTGTGGCTACGATTCGGCTAATACCTCCCTCTCCCTCTTTATTCTCGTCCTCTCCATCTCTTTCCAGGTACTTAACGCCGCACTCGTTTCCATCAGTCTTCGCAGCGGACCCCTTTCTTTTCCTATCAACCACTTCGACTGGGCGTCAGGTTTCTCAGTGGGTGTTCTCTCCTTATGTTTCCCAACCGTCCTGGGCTCTGTCTGGGCAGTAGCTGCGAATGACGACCGCGCTGTTCAAGCATAGCGCCCGTGCTGCGACGAGTTCAATGTCTCAAGCGCTCTTACTGGCGATCGTGAACGCCACTGTGGAGGCGCAGCGAGAAGAGTGACACTGAGCGATCGAAGAGCTGGCGACGGTGTGGCCGAAGATTCTTGCACAGGCAGATCGGTTAGTTGGAGACACCGAGAGGAATGATATTGCGCACGTGATCTGGTAGCTAAAAGGCTGCGTAGTAAATAAGCTCATGATCTCGAGTAGGGGTGTTCTAGTGCGATTCGAAACAACAAACAACAGGGCGAAGGTATCACATGCGTGCCCGCTACCATTGTATTAGTTGTTGTGTGCGGACACACAGGACATGTATGGGCGTGGGATAGTTTGCACTATGATCTTCTGGAACATTCGCCGATTATGTACTTCAACGAACAGCCTCGCCTGTTGAGATCCTGATCGGTGTTAAATACATTGAGATTCTCAGCTACCAAAATCACAAATGCTTGATGATACGATTCTTGAACGCGCGCTTTTCGCCGATCAAAGTTGCGTTTACACAACTTCGTTCATCGAGAGGCGCACGAAGCGACATACTTAGATAACGACGTTCCAGCTCAGTATCGGTTTTCAAGAACAAAGCGTATCACGCTGTGGCCGCCTCGTCTCTGAAGTTTTGTTAGCATCTGATTGGAATGACACGATCTGTTCAAAGGACTTACATACTTGACCATGCCATCATAAAGTTGTCCTCCGACAAGGTACGATTTTTCTTGTCCACTGTCTCCTACAACGCCAAGGGAGAAACTCCACAAGAGAGGTTGTGCCCTTCTCGAAGCACTACTTGATGGAGCCTGACTTGAATGTCCATCCACCTCTTGACTGTTTTCTATAGCATCGCTTATCGGTAATCCAATGAGCTCGGTCGACCCGGTTTTTTTTGGTCACACTAACCCAACAACTCTTTGTGTCTTTCGGTAAGTAGGAATAGCCGATGAGGAAGTGAATGGTGAACAGACTGCCCCACGGATGCTTCCTGACTTGAAATCGATACCGATGTCGAAGGCCAATAGCGGTAGGTTCACGAGACCATGGTCATTCGCGTAGTGGGCATTGACATGACCAGAGAGACTGCCAGAATGATCGTCAGAGGCTGGTTGGCGGGAACTGAGCAGCTAGAGAAGAGCGTTGGCATGTCGCTGATTCTATGGTCGATACTCTTCCAAAAGAAAAGTCGGGATTCTCGCTTTCGAG